GAGAAAGATTGCTGTAGAAAATCTTTAAAATGTACTTCAAGGCAAGGCTGTCAGTGCCTGAATCTTATGATGATAACTTATCTTTTGCAGTGAAGTAAAGGACAAAGATAAAGCTTCTAATGTCAGACCTGGCTATAATTTTTTCATGTTGTTTTTAACTTACGGTTTACTCCTGTTGCATTGTAAACTAGGAAGCAATAATAGCTCCCAAGTTCTGATACAATTTTAAACTAAACTTAATTCCTGTGGTGCTGCTGTAGGGAACTTTATTAGTTCCTGATGCATGACATTATGCAAGTATTTCACTTCATGTTGCTGCAATTAATGGAAAATATGGTGACAATATATGCCGAGTCATTTAGATGTGAAAACTTTGTGGTTAGAGAATGCAGAAGTTTGCATTGCATGCAGCCACTTCCATACCCCCAAACAAAACCGCTGATCCCCATGACTGCCCTGTAGCTTAGCTCCTCATCTACACCTGAACCCCTAAAGCACAGAGGAAGGTAACTTTGTGGTACCATCAGCTTTCTGTCAAGGCACTAGAACTACCAGAATGATTAATCCTCTGATGTCCTTTTCATACTGCTGTAGTAAGCAAGTAATTTTCCTGTCGTCTTCCTTCCATGATTATACACACTGGAGATTAAGTCTAGTTTCATCTGATCACTTTTAGACTTTTTCCCCTCTGGGGGTATGATCCACTTTTGCTACAGCTCAACACTATTCTCACACATAGTGAAATGACTACAGCAAAAATTCTGCTGGACATAGGAAAGGGAATGACAAATCCCTGGCTGAACTGAGTGTGGCAAAAATGGAGTCAATTTAGTTTTAATAACCTAAACAGAGAATGATGTTCACACTCCAGACTTTGGAGGAGTGGTGTGTTCTCCAGTTTGCTTTTTCTGTATGAGTTTTTTGCAAGCAGAAAAGCACTTGCAAAAGCCTTGCCTGAAAGTCCTGTTACCTTTTCAAAAGGTGGTCTAGAATGCCCTGCACTCCTACAAAAGCTCAACCTAAAGCTTGTGTGTTGTCAGTAATAACAGGATTGTAAAGAAAGTCTACTCAGTCTATACTAAATTCTCTTCCTGCCTCATGCCATATACCTTTTACCACAACAAAACTCAGCTTTTAGGCAGGCCATGTGTTACTGCTTCTGTCTTCTTTCTAGGGAATAAAAAGAATATATCCATCCTCATTAGACCTCCAGACAGGATGGAAGAGCAGTCATAAGCTACTATGCAGGTCGGATCTATTGTTAGTGGATGTGAATTCTAGAGGTGAAAGCAGCTCTGTAATAAACTGTTTTGGAATTTGGGCTACTTTAGAAAAGGGCAGCACTCATACTGGAGTGTATTTGACCTATTAAAAGGCATTAATTGTAATACTACAGTGGTGTTGAGCTTCTGTGTGTGTTTAGGGGTAAGGGGTATCAAATCCTCCTAATGTAGAGCTTAAATTTACTAAGTAAAGATAGAGGCTTTTATGCCAATATGCATATCAGTTGTCTACTTTCACTCAAATTTAAATTCAGAAGAATATGTATTAATGTTTCTCCAAATCTAAAACTCGTACTATAGGAGCAAGAACTTCTATCAATAAAGCCAGCTAGAAATAATACTTAAGTGAGTGCTCTGGACAGCTGAAGCCTATGCTTTCTAAGTGACTGCTATAGAGTACAAAGAAAAGTACAGTTCAGTGCAGGCTTATGTTCCTACCAGAACTGCTGTCTTCTCACAAGATGAGGAAAAGCTACTGTACAAAGCTAACCTTGGCTTCTGTATTATTCCAGAGCTCCTGAATCTGCCAGTTAGCACAACCCCACTTGCAGTGGCCTCTCTCCTGATCAGGACCCCATGAGGGGATTCAGCTAGTCTGCTGTTCTGCTACAAGACTGTCATTGCCTTTCTGGTATAGCATATCTGGATTTTACCAACAGGGGAAAGGGCTGCCGTGGTGCTAAAGGCTTATGTAGTCTGGGGGATACTGGGTCATGAGAAGTCACCAGTGTCAAGAAGCAACTGCCAGGTGTTCTTGGTTGATTACCAGTCAGTGCAGCTCTCCAGCTCATTGTATATTAAGGCATTGGGCCAGGTGGGTGGGGAAGACTGACTATGGTAAGATGATGCAAATTCTCTTGGAAATGGAATTGACAAACTTACCTGGGTGATGACCAGACTTCCTGGCCAAGGCTAGGCCTCCTAAACATTTGGTGTTTAGGACAAGTTTGGTTATGATATATACTTTGTAACTTTGTTTCTGTTCTTTGGAAGCTATATGTGACCCTCTACTAGTTCAATCTCTCTCCTACACCTTAGACCCACTGTGTTGTGTAGGCTTCAGCAAGAGTTATTGCTATAGGAGGCTAGTATGGCCTTCTTGCTAAGTGTTCTTTGTCTTTAAAGCTTTTTTGGATGGGAGAGCAGTAGGCAGGAAGGGATTCAGTCAAGGGTAATGTCCTTCACTGTGGTAACTGATCACAGGCATGTTTACCTACAGCATGCATAACTATCTGAGAAATGACAGCTGCCTGATAACCTCTTCCACAATTTCCAAATAATTTAGTTTTCATATGTAGTGATTATGCTGTCTCTATTCCTTGCTGGTAACGGTCTAGCAACCCTTTCTGCAACTAATCGATACAACTTAATTTTCTTATGTAAACATCCATCAAGTTTTTGGGAAAACTTATAGCCTTAATTAAAAAAACCTGAAATCCCCACAGATCTCCAACAACTGAATGGGGAGGACTAATGGGACTGTTCCCCTCACTGCTTCAGATTCATGTGCAGTCTCAGGTAAATAACAGCAAGTAGTGTCCATTTCTAGGCCATTTCAGGGCCAAACTTGAAGAAATCTTTTTGTAGAAGACTAAAGTTGGTACAGAGCACTGTAGACCTTGAGATTACCCTGTTTGTTTTGTGGGCCCATCCTATGGTATGAAGGGATATAGTGCCTGAATTGGACACAAGACTCAGGGCTTTAGCACAGTTGGAGGCATTCCCATGTAACAGGAATCGATGGTGAGACTGACAGCTAACCAAATGGGGAAGCTGAGAGGGAGCTCTTCATAGCTTCTGTGGTGCCATATGCAGTGACTGGCTTAATATAACTAAATTTGACCCTGTGCAGCTCCATTTTTAAAAAAATCCCCACAATCTAAATCTAAAATTTCTTCAGATGTGGCACACTTGATCTGCAGTAGTAAACCCCTTCTGGCCAAACTCTTTCTTATTGGTATTTGATTAATGAAAACAGTAAGCACGTGGTACAACAATTTGCAGTAAGGCTATACCAAAAACACCTTTTAGGCATAAGAATCAGCCTGAAAAATGCCTAGGGAGACAATGTGAGTTACTTGTATTCAAGTTCTGTGTGCACTGTTAAGAGACTTGTGTCAGCAGTGTGCCTCTTCCAGTGACATAGTCACTGAGATGCAGGTTGGTGCCTGGCTTGTTGGCCTTAGAGTCCGCAGCATAAGTGCTGCTTTAAAACTTGAGCTTTAAATATGGAGGAAAGAACTTTCCTCTTGCATGCTTCCTGTTCTCACACAGGGGATAATGAGCTGGTAGTGAAGAAATTAATGTGTAATTTCCACTTCTCGGAATATGCTGGCTAGTGATACTGTTTTGTGCAGCATCATACTTTAAAGTTGAACAGCCTCTTTTTATAAAGCTTTATAGTTCTCTGGAACTTCACTGTAGCTGCTGCTGCTTTCTAGCAATTCTAACAGCTGCTTAGTCAAGCTTTTCTGAAAATGTCTGTCAGGAATGAGCTAATAGGTACACTGAACTACTGACATTAAAATGAGGCAATCGAGCTCAAAGCATGCTGCTGAACAGGATCCCTTGTCATGTTCCTTCACTTAATGAATTTCTGGTTCTTGCTGAGAAGATCATAATACCCAGTTGCTCTTGTAATTGTTTGTCCTTGCTAATCAAAGGCAGACTTGAATGTTTATAAACAGAGGATAACTATGTTCCAATTAAAATTCTTATGTTATCTCTTCTAAAACTGCATATGCACTAAATGCTAAAAGCTGAAGTGGTGATACACTGTAAAACTGAATTATAAAGTGCAGGGACTACTTTTCCCAACAAAGACTTCTGAAAGCAGAAGGCATTTTAGTAGCCTGAACTTCCCAAGCAACATGCTTGCATTTGACACTGCTTTGTCTGCTCCAGTACAAGCACAGCATGATGGTCTGACCTTCCAAATAGAAGAATAACTGAACTGGCACTCTAATTCTACATTTCAAGTATAGTGGCTACAGTAATTATGCTTAATAAGAAAAGGCTTTAGTTGACTGTACTTGCTGACCATTGGTTTTCTTCTTGACTTTTTTTGTGAATAATTGTACTTTAACTATTCTGGTCATCTTGTATCAAATCCTGGGATTGCTGTAGAACTCCTACAGTTGGAAATTATTCCAGCGAAGGTCTCCGACTTAAAAGATGAAGTCAAAGATAATAGGTTTAGCTAGAACCGTTAAACTAGCTCCTTTTGATCTTTTTCATAAGAAAAAAGTCTATAATGTAGGCGACTTCTTCAGAAGATGCTTTGAAGGCTGTTAGCCTTGGAGCTTGTAGAAACCCTTGTTGTTCACCCTCCAGAAAAAGTCTCTGGGTATGCTTAAGTCTCTAGCTGAAGTGATTAGGTTTATAGCTAAATCTTACAGAAGCTTTTTTGAGGACAGAATTTGTGTATAGTTGTGCTGGTAGTATTTTTAGGCATTACTTCTCAAAGAACACTACTCAACAAATAAAATTAAAAAAAAAAAATCAAAGCGATAGTTGGGATTGCGAACTGCTTTTAGCATCTGACTTGTGTGATACAAATAATGGCTGTTACAATGAGATAACATAGGATAGAAGAGGCAATGTTGTATGAACTAGATGACTAGACCTAAATGCCGAATTTTGGTACAGAAGCCCATTTACACTGATGACAGTTCATGCTTAAATATAAATATACTCTCTCACTGTCCTCTCTTTCAGGCCAGGAGCGCTTTGGAAATATGACCAGAGTATACTACAAAGAGGCAGTTGGCGCTTTTGTGGTCTTTGATGTCACAAGAGGTTCCACTTTCGAGGCTGTTTCAAAATGGAAGCATGATTTGGACAGTAAAGTACTACTTCCTAATGGCAGCCCAATCCCTGCTGTTCTTCTTGCAAACAAATGTGACCAGAAGAAAGATGGCAGCCAGAATCCCTCTCAAATGGACCAGTTCTGCAGAGAAGGTGGCTTTGCTGGATGGTTTGAAACCTCTGCCAAGGTGAGCATAAAGAGGAAACGTATTTTAATTCTTCTAAGTATCGGCATAAGAATGGATGAATATAGTTATGTGGGGAAGAAAATCACCAAGTATAGGAAGAGACAGTCAAGTCTCCAGTGTTCAGCAAAAGTTGGAAGACTTGCAGCATATTTGATTTAGACTAGAACTGCATCTTAAATTCTGAAAACCTTAAAACTAACTGGAAAACTTGATTAACTGAGTTCGATAAGCTTTTTTTTTCTTGCATGTGTCAGGATCAGTGTCATTCTTCAGCTATTAGTACTATTAAACACTGATCAAACTGTCCAAAAGATACAAGTAATCTTTAGGTGCAGGTGTTTAAATTGCAGCTTCCGTCTTCACTGTTGCATGTAGGAAGTAGTAAGACTCCAGAAGTGAACAAGCTATTTGCTCACTTGTTACTACCCACCCCGATGATAATGTCACTAAAGAACTTTCCTAGTTTATCAGGCAGTGTCAAGACTGACACTGGAGAAAAACAAATTGCTCTGTGTATTAACTTAAGCTAAGATGGACAGCTACTTTATTCAAACAGATAACTTTGAGTAACTTCATATGTTGTATAGTTTTAGTCTACAGATTTGGTCAATGCACAGATAAGCTTGTGGTAACTTAGTTGAAAGTGGAATCCAACAGTTCCTTAAAACCCAATTGATCCTTAAAAAGAAAGATTCTTCTAGATGAAGACAATGTGGCTGACAGACCAAATTACTGGTCTGGTTAACAACTCCTTTATCTGGTAAGCTAAACCTCAAAGTCCCTCTCTTCCCTTGACTTGCCTATTTCCTTTAGCTGTTGCTAATGGACTGGCACAAAGTGATGCTTAGATAACTCTTAAAGAAAAAGTCTGTAGGAGGAATATGATGGAAATAAAGTGACAAGCCTTTTCCTGACCACTTTAAGGAAAAAGTGTACACAGTGACAGGAATTACTTAAATTAGCTAATAACTTTGTTTGCATTTGAACAAAAAATTCTGAAACCCACCCATCTGTTACTAAAAACTGACATTTTAAGGCTCTTTATACTCAAGAAGAATACCAAGATTCTGCTTTGGGTTATGTCTTCACTGAAGCTTCACCTGTCCATAACACTGCTATGCATAAACTTCAACATGAGTTAAAAAAATGCAGCTAACATTGGAACAAAACCTAACATGGAAGTGTAGTGACAACTTCCATTTTAGGTCGCATTTAAGGTACGACAGTGTTCTTGGTGCAGAGAAAAGTCCAGATAATATTAGTTCTAGTTCAGTTATGAATTCACTTGTTTAGGACTTTGAAGAGGTAGTTAAAATAGCTTAGCAAAAAGTCATGACAGTTTTGTTTTCTAAGCATACCAAATCGGTTGATGGTTTTAAGTCCTGCCCACTTAAATATCCTGATAATCTGCTTTTGTCTTTCTGCTGGAACTGATACTTGAATCTTCAGTCTAGTCATTGGTAATATAGGTCCCACTCCCTGTGGATTAGTGAGAATATTAAAGGCAAAAGAACTGCAGAGAGTATAAATATTCATAGAAATACTTTATGAAAATCCTTACACTAAAATGAGAAGAATCATCTTCCACTCTGGGCAGGGAACAGTACCTATCTGCAAACTGCCAGAGGCAGTTTGTGGCTGACAGCCACAACTTGTGAAGTGCAGTAGCGATGGGTCAGATGTTCTCATGATCTAACCTTGCTCATGTAGAGTTTAGATCTACAATTATGGAGACAGTGCACTGCAGTGGTATTTCTTTTGGAACCAAAGATGAGTGATTCGAAATGTGGCAACCCTGTGGTGAGCTAGTAGGTGGCCCAGCCAGCTCAAAGCTGTGGCCAAAAGCCCCTTGGCATTGGCCAGCTTAGCCTCTCAGTAATTAAGATACATAGAGCTGTATTTCATCAGGGTATCCTATATACACACCTCTTTAGAGTGTATGTTAAGGTGCTTTTCAAAGCATGCACAAGAAAATGTAGAGTGGCTAGATGAGGCACTAGGATTTAGCTGGGGCTTTAAGGCTGATAGAAAAGGTCCTTTTACATAAGTAACTGCATCCAAACTGCAGCAGAAGCAGAAAGAGGCCCCAAAAGGTAGAACACTACTATGAACAGTGTAATTGCCTATTATCTTTCCCGATGCAGAAATGTACTTTAGCATTTTTGAGTCTTCCAAATGCAGGTGACATTTATCCCCCGACTGCCTACTAGATTAGAGTTGAAGTATCCTATTTTTAATATGGGTGAATAACTTTGTCTCAAACTTTTCTGGTAACTTTTTTCAATAAGCAAGTGTATGAGTGATGACCTGGTGTGTCTAAGCTGTTCGTGTTGTGCTGATGAGAGTATAAAGAGGTTTTTTATTTGGCCAGCTTCTAATAGGAATGTGTGACTATTTAAAAAAAAAATAATCACTGACTTCTTTGCTTTCAACATTTTTAGGACAACATCAACATAGATGAAGCTGCTCGATTCTTGGTGGAAAACATCCTTGCCAACTACAAAACCTTCCCTAATGAAGAGAATGATGTGGGGAAACCAAAACTGGACCTAGACCCATTGAAAGCAGAGAGTAAATCACAGTGCTGCTAATGCTACCACTGTTCAGTAAATGTGATGGGATGAGCAGCAAGACTGTTCCTTAACTCAAACCGCTGCTATGGTGCTGCGTTGTGACAATCCATATGGGGTGTCTGGTATTATCTGAATAGGTGATTCTTGTGGGTGTTTACATATTCTTGTTTAGCATGAAACTGAGTATCTTGTGAGTTATCATTCCACTTGCTTGAGTGGCTGCATCTATGATTAGTGTCGTCTTGAGAACATAAGGTAGTGTTTACACTCCTAAAAAGGAACAAAGACAACATTCAGGCTCCAGTTTGCTTCTAGGACATATGCTACATTCCAAATAGGACTTGCTTACCATGGTTTTAGCTGAATGGACACTTGCACCTTTACTGTAAACTTTTCCTTTGTCACCAGTAATGTCCCACTTTAGCCTGACTTTTCACCTACACACTTGTCCCTATTTATTATCCCCCACCATGAGGACCTGTCTCATTGCTAGTTCTCCTGGGTTGAGACATCCCAGAAATCTTGAAGGGGCCAATGACAGCTGGGGAGGTATCTTTCTTGGTGTGTTCACTAGGACTGAGTGAAGTAGATGGCTTTTACCACTGAGTAAGAACAAGATGGATTAATGATGGTATTTAACAGGGGAAAGGCATGGTTATAGAGGTACTAGCAAAAAGGCATCTCTAGCCATTGAGGGCAGAATATTTTCAGCTAATACTTTACATATGAAACACATTAATGAATACAGTTCTACTGCTGGCACATAGTTATATAACCTTACCCATGTGCACATCCGGAAATAAACATCCAGTAACTTTTTCATGCACTAACACTGAAAGCTTTACCAGGACTGCAAAAAGTAAGTATCTTACTGTCCTGTGATAATGAACTTGCTTCTTTTTCCTTCCATCTTCAGATGGTTCTGGATACCATGAGGGAGGAGAGAGGTCTTGAAGGAAATAGGCTAGCAAGAACCAGTTAAGCTATGAAAAAAAAAAGCTATAACTTTTTCAATTTCAGAACAGTGCTGCACTCTTCTGACTACTTGGATCTGGTGAACTGGCTTACCAGTTTGTAACTCTGTATACCAAGATGCTTATATTTCCTTGTTATAACTAATATGTATTTCTGGCAGCAAATGAAGATCAAAAGGATTAGAGAGATTTCACGGTTCTTGAATACATTCTGGAACTTTGGCTCTGCTTGGCTGAAAGGCTTTGAAGCTCCTCTTTATTTTAAAGATTTCTTCTGTCCTGGTACCTCATTGCTACTGACTTTAGAAGTCTTATCTTGCTTGGTCTGATAGTGCTGATATTTACTTAAACATCAGCATGAATTATGTGCCAGATTGGATATACTTTAATCTGTATTGAGATTTCCTAGGATGTCTTTTTTCTCTAAAGAGTAATGTACTTTTTGAGAGACAAATAAATATATTTGGGCATCTTTTGTATGTTGGTGTATGCTTTTCAGAACATGAATCTTCACATCATGTGTCACACCCTACACACAAATACTTTCATTGACATTTGAAAACAACTTTATCTTCTAGTAACTGCTGTGTTAAAGGCTTACTTTAAATTACCACAGTAAGGCTTGGCATAAGCTAAAACTGGGTTTGGCTAGCTTAGGATCATCAGATGATTCAGATGAAAGGGTTCTTGGGACGTCTTCTAAGCCAACATCTTTCTCCAAGCAAGGTCATACTAGGGTGCTCAGGCTTTCATGTCTTAAACCTTCAACAATGGAGACTGTATGGCCCTGGGAAAGGTGTTTCAATGCCTGACTGTCCTCATCAGAGGTTATCTAGTCGGAATCTCTAACTTCAACTTATGTCCATGGTCTCTCAGTCATGCACCACTGTAATGAATGCATCCATTAGGCTTGTGCAGATTTATTGGACATTTAAAGCTTGATTGCTACTTTAAAATTTTTTTTAAAACCTGTAGCACTTCAGAAAGGAAGCTGAACCCCATCCATGTTCCTTGCTTGTTTGAGTTGTTAACCTTTCTAGCTAACCCGAAACTACCATAATCTTCCTATTCAGTCACTTGCAGAACAACTCCATTTAGACTTTAAACTCAATTTTAATAAGCTGTTTAATTTCCAGTGTACTGTCTTTTTCTAAACTTTAATTATAGCTGCACAAATCCAGTAACTAACGAGTGGAACATGTGCATAGCCTGTTTTATTTGATGCTTCTTGACTAGATCAAAACATGATAAACCTTGCTGACTAGTCAAACAAGATACAGTTGAAGCCAAGTCAACATGAAATTGCAAGTTTACTGAGCCTACGCAATATAATGTGAAGCTTGTCACTAGTGGGCAAAAAAAGGCCAATTCTTGAGTCTGTCTAGTATGGTATAGAAGGTTGGCCTACATCCAAATGCTAATTCCTTACATACCTACTTTACTGGGGAAACTGCAAGTGGAGGTAGACTTTTTTCCAAACAGCTATTGTGCTTTTTCTTGTTTTCAGATTCAACAGCAGAATGAAAACCAAACTGAAGCTTCGGGATTCTACCTGAATGCATGAATCTTATCTGGGTGCTGTCAGTGATAGTGTAATCCTATGCAGATTAGTTTCAAGAATGTCTAAATTTCTGCTTGAAGAGCTATTGCTGCTATGTTTGAGCACTTTCCTTATTCTGTACATAGCTTGTGTTCTTCTAAAGCTCTACATGAGTGTAGAATGGCCATGACTCTCAAACTAGTTTTGATACAGGTTGTCACTGACTGGAGAAGCAGAGGTTAAGGACCTACCAACTAGAAAAATAAAAACCTAGAGGTTTAAAGTGACTGCAGATTATGTTACAGAGCAGACTCTGATATTTCCTAAGTCTAGTAGTATAAAAACCAGTTTGACTTCTACCTGCATGATGGAGTATCTTTTTTTTTTTTTCTTTAACCTTTCTGGGAAAAAAAAAAAAAAAGGTTGAGCTTTAATAGGTGGCTAGTCTTCCTTTGTGCTACAAACTGCATTTTCATTCCTGTTCCTTGGAGAAAATGTTACTATGTTTGAGACTGGTGGGGTGGATCAGGAAATCTGATCCAGCCAGAAGGTGAAAACTGTAAGAAAAGGCTGGCATTCTAGCCTGAGAAAGGGAATGGGAGCATCTCCCTGGTAGAAGAGAATGAGACTGTAGTTTGTGGAGAAGTGTTTAGGTCAATTAAACTAATTACGAAGCCCTGTCCTAATTAACCCAAGAACTTTGATTTGGAAAGATATGTGGAAGTTTAGACAGACCCAATTTAACTTCAGGCTAATAAGGGAGCAAAAAGTGTCAAACATCATTTGTGTTACATGTACAGGATATATAGTAAAGTGATGATTCACCTCAATCAGATGAACATAGGCCCCATGCTATTTTATTTCATTATCTCTTGCAATCTCAAATACGTCAATCTTAAATGAGCAAGTACCTGACTTCCTATTCCCTATATTTAAGGGACAGTTTTGAGATTAAAAACTTGAGTAAAAATCTGAATCAGTGCCTCAGAAAATGTCTTTCCTGGCATGTTTCCATCAACTAATTTTGTAAAGGCTGGAGATGGCATATAGTCTTCCTGGATTGTAGTTTTGCAGTATGTCTTTGCAGTTAATGCAATGTCAGCCTCTATTAATTTAAAAAGCTTAATGAGGCATTACAATTGCTGACAAAACTAGAAAGGAGTTAGAGCAATTAGTGATCTTTCAGTATGGGATTTTCTAGGTGTATCTTAACGGCAGTAGTAGAAAACATGAGCTATTCCAAGCTCCAAAGTTTTGTTTGTTTAAACTTTGTGTCAGACCTATTGAGTTGTAGTAGCATTCAGTTTTCTTAAATTGAGCAAATCCTTGTTTATTGGTAGTGATTAATTGCTGGGGAATAGTTTGAATCATTCTTACAGATTCAGTGCCTGAGTAACCATTTGATACATGGTGATAAGAGGAAATAGTTATAAAAGAAGTATGTGCAGTAAATTTATGGTATTGAATGGTGAAACATTTTGCTCTTAAAAACTGTTGCTCCTTTAGCTTTCTAGTCTTAACATCTTGCTAGTGACCTTGGTTCCAAAACAGAACTGGCTACCTCTTTCTACCTTTACAGAACACCTTATTTGGTACAGAAAGACTGTTCTCTAAGCGTGTGTATGCCTTCATCCTTCATAAAATGAATTACTAAAGAATTTAAGAAATATACTTTCAGGAGTAAAAAATACTTTAGCAAAATGCCAGTGAGATAAATAATGATTCTGAATTGAAATACATCATTTACTTGGCAGTACACAAAAGGTCACTTCAGATAGAGTTTTGTCCTACAGCAGAATAATATTGAAAATAAGGAACATGCTAGATTCAGATCTGACTCTGTAATGAAGATTATTTGAAAGAAATTGTGCCTGTATTGTACCTGACCATTATAAAGCTCTATTTGTAAGCTCACTTCTCTGTTTCAATTTGTGTCTAAACAGGAAAAAAAAAGTACCTGGTGTATTTTTAAACACATGATTATGGACTCTCTTATCACCACCTAAGATAGTGTTCATTCAGTGAAAATCTCTAGCTTAGACATCCTATGTGGCTTACATACTCATATGAATAAATTCTACTAGATAGTTATTTTATCATTTCAGTCTGTGTACATACAAAATGCTTCCTGCCCCAAGTACCTTAAGAAAAACTTCCTTTTTTAGGGGGTGTTTTGGATAGCTTTGGCTTGGGAGGTGTACAAGTAGAGGGCCAGCATCTCAATATTGGTTCCTTCATCCTTTTTGCAAAGATAATAAGAGATGAGTATAATGATCTTGCATCTTTTTATCATTGGGTAAATCATCATTTGGCCTGAACTCTAAATGAAATGAAAATATGCAGGATTCCTGGCCTTACTGCCCTTAACTTGTAACTGGGAGTAAAAAGTATCTACTACATGTCACGTGGCATTTTAATATTAAGGGATTCTATCTATCTTTTACAGGTTCTAGGAAATGAAACAAAGTGTTCAGTCCTTTGATAAAACATACAGACTTATGTTTTGCCTCGTCATTTTTTTTTTTTTTTTTTTGGAACTTAGGAACGTTTAACCTGCTTATTATCATGACCCTTCTGAAAGCTTAAGTTATGCTAATAATTATCAGTCCTGTTGGAAAGCCCTTAACTCCCTAAAGGTTAAAGATAGCATGGGCATTCTGCTAACTCCGTTTCTAAACTGCTCTGCCCTTCCTGGTATGTATCAAAATAGTATGTAGTATCCATCCAGAATAATGGACTTTCAACCCCTCACATTCAGATGGGTTCGGTTTTTAACTTCTGTATTTCAAAAGTGTCCTGTAGACTGTGATATTGAAGGTTACTCTGTAGTAACCTCTCTGTACTTGGGCTGCATTATCCATTTCCATTGTTC